AACAGAGATGAGCATCAAGCCTGCTATAATCATACCTTAGAGCGGAGTCCGTCTGTTGCCGTCATGTTCATTAAGCCAAGTCTCATGAAAGACCATTGGAAAAAAAAGACTCATTAAAGGCTCGCAGTGCCACCAATACTGTGGCCTTCAGTGAAAAGTGTGGCGAAAGCCGTTGTCGCATAACCACTGTTCCCTGCTAACGCTTCTGAGCGTTATTGCATTTCTATGCTGGCACCGAAGTCATCGACAAGCGATTCTTCTTTGCTTTCGTCTTCAACGCGGCCGATTTCTTGGCTTCAGCCTCGTCATTCTGCTGAGAAAAGTCTTTCCATCTCCTCCAGCCATCAAAATCAATGAGTGCTTGCATGCAACCCCATTCCATGACCTTCCTCTCTAGCCAAACGAAGTTCACGGGCTATAGTTATCACGTTAGTATGGTGGACTAGTAGGCATTGAAGCGTAGATGAGTACTAACCTTCGTAAGGAAATCGTTGCAGCCAGCCGCCAAGGCCTCGTGTCTGTCGCTCTGGAGGGAGCTGGCAGTAAGGGCCACGATAATCACCGGACTTTTGAAGAGCTCCATATTGGTCAACTTGTCCTTCTCCTCGGGCTCGCCATTCGGGGCCTCAGGTGCGCTACCTGCCGACGAAGAGAAGACACCAATCGAGTTGACTCTCTCCAATCTGCGGATCTCCCGAGTGGCTTCCAATCCGCTCATGATGGGCAGTTGAATGTCCATCAGAACAAGATGGAAACCTCCGGTCCTCCACATGGTGACGGCATCCCGGCCATTGACAGCCGTTTTCCACCTAACCTTCAGACGCTTGACGAAAGCCTCAAGCAGCTTGAGGTTGATCGGGTTGTCCTCTACGATCAACACGTTGATAGGCGGCACACCTCCGTTCAATATGCCAGCGGGCAGAGTTGGATGATCTACCGTTTTCTTCTTTTTAGGCCGAGAACTTGCTGGCCTAGGAGAAGCAATCCTGGGCGGGGGAGTCGCAACTCTCGCAGGCTGTACTTCCGGAGCGGGCGGTGTCGGAAGCGGTGGAGCAGCCGGTTGGGCATTGGATTGCTCCGAAGTGTTCGACTGCGTCCGAGAAGGCGGTAGGCGTGGGTGGAATGAGTGGGTGGGATGTGCGGCAGCAGCAGCTGCGGCCGCCATGGATTGTGCATTGACTTGGTTCAGTATCGTAGGTGAGGAGGTATGGGTTCTCCCAAGACGAGGGCGTTCTGGACGTTCCCTGTAAGCACGAGACCTCGTGCCTCCCGGCGAGGGTATTGGCGGTACTTGGCCTGTACCGAGAATTGCGATCGAGTGTTGAGTATGCGCAGTAAGGGCATGTGCTGGATGAACTGGATGGGCAGGATGCGCGGGATGTGTTGCAGTGACGGTAACAGGAGCGACAACCGGCACTGGTAGATTTGGCGACGGCAGAGCAGCCGCATTTGCAACCGGAGGGAAATATCCCTCGCCAGCTTCGGAGGGCCGGCCTTCGTCATTGTAGTAAATTGTTGTAGCATGAGTTGGGGCGCGCGGTGATGGCCTCGGTGTGCGCCGGGCTGGGATATCAATCACCAGAGCCTCTTCGACATTCTGACCACCAGGGAAGTATGCATCGAGTGTACGGCCCACGGGCTCCTCGGGGCCAAGCATACGATCTTGTCTCTGCTCCCGCGGGCATATCCGGAGTGTGAGATCGGGGGAATCGAAATGCCTGCCCAACGAGTTGGCGTACTTTCGTAAAATCATGTCGCGCACGTCATCGACCAGGTCGTCCTCGTTGACAGTGATGAGTGTGGCAGAAGCACCGGGGCGCCTAACCCAGACCTTGCGGGTGACCATGTTTGCGATGTTGGGGAGCAAAGAATCGGCGCTGGCTGGCCTAGCTTCGTTTTCGACACGTCCTTCGAGCAAATTTCGAATTAGAGTGGTTTGACGATTAGGTATAAGACTTTGTCGTCGGGGAGGCGCCTCTGGGCGGGAGGACAAGGGCGAACTCGGTAGGATGGCGGTTGCGAGAGGCGTCGGGGTGCCGAGGGCATGGCTGAGGGGATCGTGTTGATCGTCGTTGAGGTCCTCGGCAGAGACCGCCTGAAGGGTAACGGTGGGAGCCGCGCCAAATTTTGGCGGTAGGGGCTGGTGCGAGTGATGCGACTGCGATAGATGAAGTCTCTGTTTTGGGTCGTCAAATCCGGGTGGGGTTTGGTCCTCGTGGATGCTTGGAAGGTTGTTGAGGGTAGTGGGAGCTGCGGTAGGAGCAGTGGTTGTGGTTGCGGTTGTGGTTGTTGCGGCTGGGCGTAGATCGTTGCTGGCAGTCAGTTCGCTAGCTAAGCGTCCTTGAGACTCGGCGGGCGGCATTGGGGCCAGCGAGTCACGGTCGAGGTCGAGGTCGGGGTGTGGCTTGTGAGCGTCCTGATCGTCCCCAGTCCCGGTCGAGTTGTCTCTGACCTTGTTGCTGGCGCTGGCGCTGGCGCTGCTTGCGGGTCTTTGATCGTTGTTGGTACCCGTAGTAGCTGTGACTATGGGATTCTCTTCCTTTACCAAAACCTCGTCGCTGCTGAGAGGTGCATCATGAAAGTTATTTTCTTCATCACCATGACTGTCGTGATTGAGTTGGTGCTCGTGGCGTTGTTTTTGTTGGTGGTCCAATAGATGGGACTTGCTTGAGGACGACGACTGTGGCGGGAGCTGCCCTTCCTCACTGTCGGCTTCACCCTCTGCAGCCCCGGCAGCGGAAGCCTCAGCCGTAATTGCCTTCAATTTCGGCTGCAGCAAGTGGTCGCCATGGCTGCTGCCGGGGGGTTGTAGTGTGGTGGACTGTGGCTGTGCCTGCAGGTGATGGTGTGGCTGGTGTGGAGTCGGCGAGCGCGAGGGCAAGGGCGAGATTGGCGTGTGAGGCGGGTGCTGGGAGCTTGCTCTAGACCTTGGGGCCGAAGCGGATGCAACGGCCGAGGATTGCCGTGTGAGACTCGTCCCATCAGTTGCCTGGGAGTTGTGAGCATCGCCGGTGCTCTTGTTGGAAGCTAGAGATGGGGCAGCCGAATTCCTCCGTGAGAACTTTGCCCGGAGACGGGCTCTGATATCCCCAGCAGTACCCATGGGTATGGGAGGGTCACATTCAGCGTGCGAATGGGGGCGAGGCTTTTTTTTCTTCCTTTGGGACGGTACGGTACGGTGTACGACGGTACGTTGCTGAAATGAAATTCGGTGTGGTATCGTGTCTTGCGCGTCTTGTCGCGTGGTCGCCGCCGTTGCCGTGGACGTGATGGCAGCCGTGTGCTGATGGACTTTTGTTCCGGCGGGTCGTCGTTTCCTTGGATGATGGATCAAGTGGACTGAGGTTGAGACACGCCGAGAGGAGGAGGAACGGATGGGACGGGTGGCATGAGAGGTGGGTGAATAAGTGGTATCAGGTGCCTCGTAATGTAGCCTCTCTGACTGCGGCGAAGAAGAGGAAGAGGATGAGGGGGGAAAGGCGATTCTTCCAACGTAGATGGACACGGTGAAATACGGTATGATACGGTGAGGTGAGTTGACAAAAGTGGAATGTAAGTGTGGTAAGTACAGAGTATTAAAGGGGGATGACGGGCACCTGGGGAATTGAGAGGCAAGACAAGACAAGAAAGAATATGTGATAAATGAGTGAGTGAGATGGGCCTAGGGGATCCCAAAAAGGAAGACCGGGCAAGATCTCAGAATGAAAAGACAGAGAGGAATGAGAGGGTAGTGGGGTTGAAAACTTGAGATACCCAACTCAGTACTCAGAGACAAGAGGCAGAGACTAAACGGGAAAAAGAAAGAAGATGCAACAGAAAACAAGTAGAAATGGTGCAAGATGCCTAGCTTTGCCGTCCACTAAGTCAATGCGAATGGATGTGAACCACCAGATCAAGTCCAGTCAAGCACCAGTGGGCTGGCTGGCTGTCATATCCCGGGGTTGCGCTGGGTTGTAACTTGTAGAGGGAGACTCGAGAGACAGAGACACAAAATCACAGACAACACAGAACATCCAGATGTGCCTTGACAGCCCAATATTACCATTCATTCGTAGAGAGAAAAAGAGCAAACAACGCGTGGGATGGGATACCCATGCGGCTGCCACGCCTTGCAAAGTGCAAGCCCACATGAATGGTCCATGGATCCGTAGACCATCCGTAAAAAGGCACCTTACCGGCTTCAATGTCCGGCTCAAATCCTGCTTTTTTCCCTCCTTTGTATCTCATTTCCCGTTAACAGCCAACGTTTTTCTCGCCTTCCCCCTATTAATTGGCCGTATTGCTCTCTGCGCCGGGCCACGTCGATGTGCCTCCGCCCCACCCCCAATAAACAGCCAATTGGCCTGCTTTGAGCAGCCCGACTCTCCCGTCCAAGGTACCTTACTCGAGTGCTCCATACCTCAGTTTTGTCACTTATGGAGCATATGGACATCTAAAAAAGCGGACAATTCCATTAAACGCCCTATTGATTCCTTGTGCAAGGACAAGAGCCTGAGGATATCCTCGTTCCCAAGCCACAAACCAAGCTCCCTAGTACCGTGCCCTTCCATCGAGATCTTGCACCCGCCTGGCCCGAAGCCAAGGATAAATCGGCTGGTAGGCAAAACGTCGATCTTCGACAAGGTGTTCTGCAAGTCGTGGATACAGTACTTTCGTGGGGTTCTGCAAGTTATCAAATCGTGCGAGTGCATGTTGTCCTGCAGTCATATTATCCGAAAAGATGTACATCTGGATTTGCGTTCGCACCCAGGAGGGACTTCCTTACTTGAGGTGCTCAAGTACCTGTACCTACCTTTGTCGCGACCCACATTTTAAACAGTGACATCTTTCATTGCTGAAGGTAACTGTAACCAGACACGAACATCTACAATCTCGTCTAATCCACTTTGGTGCCTTCATCTACGGAACTCAACTAAAGCCAGGTTTCCTCATATAGTATCTGTGATATTATACGCCTACCCTTTATATTTGATTCCGAAAGCACTTGGCCTGAAGTGAAGATGCCCTCCTTCACAGAGCCTGAGCATCAGTCGCAAAGTCTGCCCTTTGAGAAGCCGACGCCACGTCCACCCAGGTCGCCAACAGTAGCCAACAATATCCGGTCTCGAAACCGTCGTCGAGAGTATCTCGAGAGACATCCAGAGTACTTTTCCGACGCTGAACACGAGCTGGCAGGTCCGTCTCTCCGCATACCCTTTCTTCCTTTTGCCTTGAGCGGTCTTGGTGACTTGGACATTGCGGGATTTGGTTTCACTTCACTATCAACTTAGGAGCTAATGTTCTTTCCAGACCCCCTACTATATGACAGCTTGGTTCGCAAATTCCAGACACCAGCCGAGCGTGAGGTCGAAGGCAAGGCCAAGGGCTACTCTGGAGTTCTAGAGAGCTCCCTGCACAGGGGCGAGGCTCGTCTTGCCGACTTGAAATCATCAACTGATGACACTACAACATCGGAGCCCGCGAGAGATTTCACAACTGAAGCCGATCTTTCCAAAACAAAGACAAAGGAAGAGGGCCTTCAGAGATGGCATGAGTTTCTCACGGAACGTTTTGTCCGAGGCCACGACGAGGATTTCGATTACAGTCTGATCGACGACAACGAAGACTACGACGTCATGGAGAGACGTGATGCCGAGGAAGCCTGGTTCGATGAAGAGGATCCCGAGTGGGCCAGCGATGCAGACGAGGGAGCCCAAACCACACGGGGCCAAACCGGCATTCAGGACTTCTGAACAGCTGCTGCGCGGCTGGTTGAGCCGAACCAGCACTGTCAGCTGTCTGCGAATCAAAGAAAGGACCAAGAGAAGACTGGAACACATGATGGCGAGCCAAAGCGCAGTCATCATTGGCGGTTCTGCATTCAAGCTCCCTTACGAGCCGCACCACTGCCACTGCGCTTCTGAAACTTAGGCTATATCGCCGTGCCTTGATGAATGCTAAGGTGCGGCTGACCCTTATTTTCAGCAGTCGGGCGTGAGAGGGAGAACAATATCGATGATCAAGCTTTGGACCCAAAGAGAACGCACCTTCGTGTCCTCACTTTAGGCTTCCAGACCTTTCCATCCCACGATGCTAAGCAACCCGTTCGGCCTCCACGAACCTTGCTGACGCCATGGAGGAAGGTCCATAGGCGAGCGGACCGCAACACTGCCTAATTACAAGTTCATTGAGTCACCTTTGGCTCAATGGTGCAAACGACGGCGTATCGTAGCCATGGAGTCATAAAGACTACCAATAACCTACCGACGGGGTTCGAATCCTACGCTGCCTTGTGATTTCGGCGGCAAAGCTTGGGTAGTGCGGGGTCTCATCCTGAAAGGGGCGAGATTGAGCATCCAACATTATTTTCTTGCATTTTTTGGTATCTACTTACTATCCGAAACATATCTCAGTCGAAATCAAAATATGATAGAGATCATGTTGGATGCTCAAAACAAGTGCCTTACGCCGTCAATATGACTTCACCAGGACCAGCATGGCACACAAGAGATTGGTTTTGCATCTCCCAAGAAAGTCCACGGTTGGCCTACCGCAGCATCATGCACCTGTATTGGATTGCAACTGTCACCAGTGTCCAGGTTCAGTCCTCCAACTCGTGGTGCGGGTGGGGGGTGTGCCCAGGATGGGGTAAACCGGGAAAATGCGCTGGGTAAATTCAAAGGCCGCTGGCTAGTCGTCCCGTGTTCCACTCTACCGGGCCAACATCACCACTTTCACATTCATCCAGACGCCTGAACCCTTTTGACGGTGGAGAATACTCGAGGGCAGCTATTTGGCATATAAATGATTACCTCCCAAGGCTTTTCTTTTGCGCCCCATCGGTCTCTGCAGAACATCCTTAATTGTCTTTGTCTTATTGCAAGTAGGCAATCTGCAACATCGTCCTATCCTATTCTTCAAGACACCCAAAGTGGCATGCTTGGTTTCCCCATTTGACCCCAATTCTACCACCAACAACCACCTTCAACCCCCGCATTCTCTCCCCCGCACTCCCACGTTCTCCCCTCCCCCATCCCACATACATTCACAATGGCGCCCCTCATCAACCACCTCTACACGGCCGACCCTTCAGCCCACGTCTTCAATGGCAAAGTCTACATCTACCCATCTCACGACCGCGAGACCGACATCAAGTTCAACGATAATGGAGACCAATATGACATGGCCGACTACCACGTCTTCAGCACATCATCGCTGGATCCCCTCGAGCCCGTCGTCGACCACGGCGTCGTTCTGAAGACCGAAGACGTACCCTGGGTCTCGAAGCAGCTCTGGGCTCCCGACGCCGCCTACAAGGACGGCAAATACTACCTCTACTTCCCCGCCCGCGACAAGCAGGACGTCTTCCGCATCGGCGTCGCCGTCTCGGATAAGCCCGAGGGCCCCTTCACCCCGGACCCGGAACCCATCAAGGGCAGCTACAGCATCGACCCGGCCAGCTTCGTCGACGACGACGGCCAGGGCTACCTCTACTTTGGTGGTCTCTGGGGCGGCCAGCTGCAGTGCTACCAAAAGGGCAACGAAGTGTTCGAGAAGCAGTGGCTCGGCGCCCAGGAGCCCAGCGGCGAGGGCGTCTACGCGCTCGGCCCGCGCGTGGCCAAGCTGACGGGCGACATGCACCAGTTCGACGGCGAGGTCCAAGAGATTCAGATCCTCGCGCCCGAGACGGGGAAGCCCATCCTCGCCGACGACCACGACCGCCGCTTCTTCGAGGCCGCGTGGCTGCACAAGAGGGACGGGCTGTACTACTTTTCCTACTCGACCGGCGACACGCACTACCTCTGCTACGCCACCAGCGAGAGCCCTCTGGGCCCTTTTACGTACGGGGGACGGATCCTCGAGCCCGTGCTGGGGTGGACGACGCACCACTCCATTGTCGAGTTCAAGGGCCAGTGGTGGCTCTTCCACCACGACTGCGAGCTGAGCAAGGGCGTGGATCACCTGCGGTCTGTCAAGGTCAAGGAGATCTTTTATGACAAGGACGGCAAGATTGTGACGGAAAAGCCGTAGGGGTACGGGCGATGACCGAACTGAAGAACATTCAGAAGAATAAGTAAATAAATCTTGCGTCACTTTGTATCAATAATAAATTTTGGGATACACCTCTGTATTCACAGATGTTCTGAGTTGGTTTCATCTACATCCTCATCATCTCTTCACAACCTAGACTCTTTCCCTCGACTTCCTTTCCCAGATCCTTCCGTCCCAAACTTTGCATGTCTTCTTTACATGACCAGGCTAAAATGATAACTCAACATTTGAAGAAATTGTATAATTATCTCACACTCGGGGATGTATGGGGTATATAAGGGTGAATCGGACCATATGTCCGCGACAAAGGAAAATAAAAAGGGGCGTGTTGTGTTCATGTTTGTGTGATTTTCCTCTCACCATAGAAAAGAAATCCCCCCTCATACTGCTTCTCAACTTTCAACAACTCCGAACCGCAGCTTATTCAACGCCTCTTCATACTTGGCCGGGCTGTGGTCAATCAACATGCTCGTCCCGAACCGCACCTCTCTGAAGCGCGACTCGACGTCCCTAACGTACTTGAGCACGATCCGCTGCGCAGGCCGGCCGATAGACTCCTCGTCAGAAACAAGAAAAGCGTCGCGCCTCAGTACACGCTGACTCTCGACGATGAACACCTCGCCGGGAGGCAGCAGCTTCAGGCTCATCATGCTGGAGCGAAGCGTCGTCAGCGCCGATATGCTCCATTTTTCCTCGTCGGCGCCGGCGGTCAGGGAGGAGGAGGAGCGGGAGCCGCTGTTGGTGTACCACTTCTCCGCCAGTCCGGACTGGAAAGCCTGCCATATCCGCTGCTTGACCTCGACTTTTGCCTCGTGGTTGTCGCTCTTGAAGGCGAGGGCGACGGCCTGGAAGTCGTGCAGGACGCCGAGGGAGAGGAAGGGGACGAGGTCGCAGCCGTGGACGACGCTGGTGACGAGACCGCGCGTGGCTTTGCGGAGGGCGGGGGACATTGTCCCGGGAGGGCCATAGGCGTAGACATGAATGGGACGGCCCGAGGGGAGGCAGACGTGCGTAGTGTCGGCGTCGAGGAGGCGTCCGTCGCCGAGGAGCCGGCGGTGCGGATCCGAGGTCGTGACGAAGCCCGTGCCCGACGGTGAGGGCTCAGCGAGCATGGTACCCAGCAGCGCCGTGACGCCGCCGCCGAGCGAGTGGCCGCACAGGACGAGGCCGTAGTCGCTAAACTCGTCGAGGGCCTCCTTGAGGGTGTAGAGGACGCGCCCGTCGCCGCCGTAGAGGAGGCGGCGGGCGGAGGCGTGGATGCCCTTGTGAACCTTGTAGGACTTGCCGCGCCAGTAGAGGTTGTCGTAGTCGCAGGCCATGTCAGCCAGGACGTCCTCGAAGCCGAGGGTGCCGCGGCACGCGAGGACGACGGCTTTGGATTCGTGGTCGAGAGATATGTAGTGGACCAAGGGGACGCCGGTGCCGGTCGAGCCGGTGGTGTCGGATCCGCCCTGGGCGTCAACGAAGGAGGCGAGGAGGATGCTTGTGGACTCGGATTCCGTGTGGTGCGCAAAGGAGCGGATCTCGTGATGTGTGTCGTCTAACGCTTTGATCAGGGGCATGTCCTTGGAGATGCCCATGAATTTGAGAAAGTTGGACCCGTACGACGCGGAAGAGAAACGCATGTACCGCGTAATGTTTCGGAGCAGGTGGAATGCCGGGAAAACACCATCCACTGTGCCTGCCCGCCTCAAGGTGTCGATGGCTTCGGAGTCGGTGTATGCGCTCTTCTGATAGTACGATGACAAAACCAGAGACGTCTGGGAGCCGGTGTTGGCGATGCTGTAGAGACTCGGTGTGTTGACGTGGGAACGCGCTCTCCTGGACTTCATCGGCGATGGTGGCTTCTGATCGTTCATGTCCTTCTCTGACCGCGACTTGGGGATGCTGGGCTGGCCCATGCCGTCACGGCGAGTGTACCCTGGAGACTGGGGTCGATATCCGTCGACGGCGTGGAAGGAGTAGGTATCCGTCTGTGACACAATAGAGTCTCGACGTCGCTCGTGCACAGAGATGTAACTGGCTCGCGAAGAGCTGCGAGGTACAGGTGAGGGGTTCTCATAGGCCCGGCCTCTTGAGCTAGAGGCAGCAGTCGGGCCCATGGCCCGAGTCTGGGATGAACGGTTGGGCTGAGTAGAGGTACGTGTTGTTCCATCTCTTGTAGAAGTCTTTGCCGGCTGCTTGGGCTTCCCCGTGGGCTGCGAACTGCCGGTGCCGGTGCCGGTTCCGTCTCGATGGAAGAGGTTGGAGATGTTTGAGCTGGTACCCCTTTTCAAGGCTTGCCTGATGCCTCCCTTTTTCTCGGTTGTGGGCTTCTCCGATGGTTTGCTACTTGACAAGGACTCGCCTTTGGTTCTCTTGGGCTTGGTGGCTTCGGCGTGCGAGGAGACGGCACTCTCCTGACGTGCCCGCACTGGCAGGGGGCCTAGAGGCGCGCGCTGTCGCTTTTGGTTTGGCGCGTTTTCGGGACTCTGCTTGGGCGTTGGGATCTGAGAGACTCGACTGCCGGGTGAAGTCGAGGGAAAACCAGGACCAACCTTTGCTCGACGAGGGGTCGGATTGGATGTCGCATCTGACCTCGGAATAGTGGCCGGGGCAGATGTCAGCGCCTTCTTGGGTGGTACGGGGGGCGCTTCGTCCTTTTCGTCATTTCGACCGTATCCATCCGACTCCTCGGTGTCGTCTAGTGATTCCACTTTTC